ATTGTGTACTAAATAATAAATATAGATCTCAAAACAATATATATTAAATGTTTGCCTGTTTGTCTGTATGTCTGTTTGTTTGTTCGTGAAAACACAATAACTATCAAACCATCCTTAGTTTACATGGCTCAACCTTAAGAGATACATCAAAACCTTTATTTTTACTGAAAAAATTGCAGATCTTAAAAAGGTCTACAGAAAAATCTGCAATAACATACCTATCTTTCTCCTAAGGTACACTCGCAATAACTATTCATATGTATTCAAAACTTACCTAGGAATGCATCCAAGCGAAGCGTAGGTAAGTGGGTAGTATTCAATAAATATTTATTCCATGTCAATTCTTAATAACATGATGAAGTTTAATAGACTAATAATAAAATAATTAAATAAAGTAATAATAAAAAAATTAAATAAAGGTTAATTATTATTAATTAGTACGATAGAATTTAGAGCAAAAATATTTAATAATGAAAACGATGCCATTTATGTTTACTGATTACTTATTAAAAGCTTAATATGGGATATCTATTTAAGACCACAAATATAGAAGATTCTTCAAAATTTGTTGTTTGTAAATAATAATTTTAAAACAGAAAATTATATATATACATATATGATATAGTTTCAATACGTACCTACTTACTACTAATTCAATTATGAAAATGTCACAACAATATCCAAGATTTCATGGCATTTGATTTATACATATAGGTAAATATATTATTATTAATATTTATACATATATATTTATAAACTAGCATTGCCCGCGGCTCCGCCCGCGTTCAGATGAGCAAAAACCAAATTCTTAGGTTTTACATATTAGTATACTCTTACATTGCAGTTTTTGTACATATTTTTTCTCAAAATGAGATATTTTCCCGCGGTAAAAAGTATCCTATATGTTCGATTTTTCGTTCGATATGTTCGGGTCAACCCCGAATAACCAGTTATCACCATACCATCATCGAAATCCCTCCACTGGTTTTTCTGTGATGCAGTAGCAGACAGAGAGACAGACAAAAATTCTAAAAACTATAGATTCGGCCTCTGTATCGATAATAAAGTCTTTTTCAATAAGATTTTCCAAAAAATATTTAATGTACAGATTCGGCTCAGTTACAATTTTATTATATGTATAGATTGTAATATCATTACAATAAAATTGTAAATAAACGTTAATGTAATGTAAGCAAGAATTTCTAAATATTGTACCTCCAATTAGGTTCATAATTTCTTGGCTTTACATAACTTGTTTGTGTACTTTTGAACAAAGTTATTATAACGTACACAATGTGAAACGTCAAAAACACATTATTAGATTAGACAAACTGTAATATGTTGGTATTTTCTTTGCATATTTTTAGAAATAATTTTATTTGGCACGTTTTAAAACTAATTTCAGGTATTTTCAATGTATGTTAGTTAATAGAATTAATATATTCTATGTTAAATAATAAAATAAAATTGATACATTATAAAATATAATATTATAAATTAGTAAAAATATTCATAGCGTTCTCTAAGTTGAAAATAAGTCTCATTACAAAGGTGACGACAATGAATATCGGTATCATGTTCCCGCGACGCCATTTCTTCAACGCTCCACTTTATCGGCTCGTTCAATTTAAAATTGTTTTCAGAAGCATTACACTGAAAGCCCTTGAAACCAACGAGCTTACCGACGGAATTATTAAGGCGTGAATTCCATCTCATAACCTTTTTTGATTAAAAATATTAGCATTGATTGTTTTTGAGCTCATCTTGAGCTCCCTGAGATTGAAAAGGGCAGCTAAGTGAAGGATTACATTCTGTCTGTGTCAATATGATAAGAGCAGAGAAAGGCCGGGCTCCATAAAATGCAAACAAAAGCGTGTCATTGAGATTTCTCGGATGCGATTGGCGACAGCTGGACCGTGGGACGTTTCATCTCGCTTTCATCTTTTTGAGTTGCCGTGTGTTTGAATACCGACTGTTGTACGGTTCGAAACTTATGCTTACGACTAAATAAAGTGGAAAATATATATTTTTTATATATTTTGCTATCGCTTCTTTAATGTTATTTTAGAATATTTTTTGTAAAATATACATTTGTCATAAAAATCATTATTAAGTCAGTAATTAAGTAGATTAAACTATAATAACATAATCTGGGGGAACGGTAGTACCTCCGCCAAGACGAACCAAGCGAAGCGCACTGCCTACCTATTCTTGAAGCGCTTCGTCGTTTTTTTGAATCCTCATAATTTATGCGTGGATTATAACAAATAAACAAAATTCTCGGGACATGACGTTTATTGTGGACTCATTAAACATATAAAGTTTCAGTTGCATAGCTCTTATACTTTAAATTTGAATGATATCTCAAAAACTCCGATTTCGTCGCTGACTCACTCATGATCATTAAAATTCTTAGGATACTTTCGGAAGTCTTAGAAAGCTGTACATGAACAACAACAAAAAATCAAAAACTTGGGACTTTTACCTGTCATGGATGGAAGTTTGTATGAGACTTCCGCAATTTTTGATGCTAGAAGTTTAAAATTGATAGAAGGACTTTTTGTTATAAATAATAAAATACATATTTTAGGATTTTTAGTCAATCACCCCCCACCCTTTGAATTAGGGGATGGAATTAAGCGCGATTATAAACAGTGAATGATGTTCTCCTAGCCGATTCCGGCTAAGGCGGCCAATCTCATTGAGACTAGCCAACTGCGCAGGCGATATTATAGTGCACAAGTGTACGCGCAGACACAAATGCACTCTCTATTCCTGTCCCTCTCATATTCCCGTGGGACGACTGCTCGACACGACCAGTGAGAGTTAAGGCGCAGGACCGACGGCTTTACGTGCTTTCCGAGGCACGGGTGTGAAACACCGCCAACTTCCCAACTCCGGGCTGTTACTGAGACTTACTATACAGAAAGACTCAATAACTAAACTTGGCCCGACCCGGGACTCGAACCCAGGACCTCCGAGTGTGCAGCCGAACATGCTAGCCACTACACCACCAAGGCAGTTAAGAGGGCGTGTAGAGCTAGAAGCTTGCCTCTACATGAAATCTGATAACTTTTTGACAGTGCGAGCCACATGGTCTCGTCTTGGCAACATTGTACATGAAAAATGAAAATGTTTTTGGTGGGAATTTATATTATGTGACACAAGCAGAATAAACTATAATGTAATTTAAAATTATATGTACATCATTGAGATAATTAAATGTTAAATAGAATTACAATAACTTTTTTGAATAAGTTTAATAAGGATGATTCGCGACATAAAAGTACCGTAATACATTTTGTGAACGACTTATTATTTATTAATATCAAAAGAATAATCGGATAAACTTTCACAAGGAAAAAAGTTGAATTGCGGATACCTAAACTTTTCTTATCAGAATACTTATGAGGCCGATACCCGTACAAAGTAGGTATGATTTTTCTCAAACTTTTCTAACAAATCTTTCTCCGCTTCTAGCTATCTAATTTACCTACTTATAGAATGCCACATATATTTTAGTGTAAATATTACAAATATTCTATATACCGATAAAATATAAAAGTCATAATACTTTCTTAGATTTACGCGAATATTTGACATTTTTATTTTTTGCTGTTGTCATTATAATTATTACAATTTTAAAAATATTAATTAGTATATTTATAACCATAAAGAAAAAATATAAAATATACTATTAATTATTTAAGCCACATAATTGTTCTATGTGTAATTTAAAAAAGTTAAAATTAATTAAGAATAATAATTTTAATAATAGCAAACTAAATGATAACAGCAAAAATTAAATAAATAATATTCCATATTCAATTATAAAACTAATTAAAATTATAAACATCTTTAAAGTTACAAAATATTGTAAGGTGCTTGGTACAATTTTTCATTTTGTTATTGTGGGTAGGCTGTCTGTAACAACTATACCTTTGAGACATCTCAAAGGTATAGTTTCTCAGTCTCTCCCGTGACCATGGATGCTGTAAAGCATTCGAAACGTCGGGAACCAAAAATCAAAATAAATCCGGGAAATAGTCCGAAAAGATAGTTTTATTTAAAATATATAAAAATCAATTGTCGTTCGTTAGTCTCACTAAAACTGCTGGACGGCTGACGGCTGAACGGCTGGACCGATTTGAATAATTCTTTTTATGTTTTGTGTGTGTGTGGGGGATGCGTCAGGGATGGTTTAAGTATAAAAAAATAGAAAAAACCCAAAAAAAAACAGCTGGAAAATCGAAAATTTCAGAATTGTTTATTTTGTACCTATTTGTATATATAATTGATAGTCTATTCTATACTAACCGCTAAAACGTATCTAAGGTTAAACCCGAGCGAAGCGAGAGTCGCTGGTTATTAATAATATTTATAAATATTTTGGTAATGTTTATTACTTATGAAATCTTATACTTATGAAACTTATGAAATCTATTAAATTATTAAGTCTAGCTTATACTGCGGTTCCACTGGAATAGTTTAGATATTATTTCTTTGTTGCGGCTATAAGATATCACTGCGACCATTTCTAGTATATTGTGATAATAGTTTAGGTACGTAATAAATTCTACTTCACTACTGACTGCTACCGCTAGCGTGGTGTTATAATATTTGTATTATATATACAATATACATATAGCCAACACATATCTTTCTTAATATGTAAAGAAATCCAAATCTGACCGCTACTTTCAGATTATCGTTTACAAATAAATAGCCATATCTTCAACTTCATAATATTAGAATCGACGATCTACGTGTTATAGTCTTTACTGTTATTATTTAACATATAAGAAGAATTTTCCTAGTAAAAAAAAATCATCTTCCCACTGAAAGTTAATTGACACTAACCCTGATGTTTACTTTGCAGGTACATGGAAGCTCCGACGTAATAAAATGTGCGTGTGTGTGTGCCGAACTACTCGTATACTCATCATAGATCAAAGTGTTTGAACGACTGTAACGAAGATTAAAGTTAAACAAAGTGCTATATGAGACGCTGGAGGTATCGAGTATCAGGTGGCATGGAGGTGATTTTATCAACTGGGAGCCGCATTTTCGTGGCGTTTATAGCTACTGCCTTCTGGGGAATGGGTATGTTTAGCTTTATTTTACTTTATATTTTAGTAAAAATTTAAAATTATAAGTGTGTTAGGTGTAGTAAAAACAGTAAATAATAGTTTTATTCACACGCTTTATAGAAGAAATATATACGCTGGGGAGGTTTTTTGTTTGTTTTGCTTCAACCCGGGATCGAATTTGTTACATCAGACGCAGCAGTCAATGACAGTCACTTATATGAATATGGTCGGTGTATAAAAAAAATTATTGTGTAAAATATCCTTGCAAAGTTAAGTGGGTAATTAAAAAAAGTACAGTGGAATAAAAACTAAGGTAATAAGTCATTTAAAAGCAAGTTTAAATGCTTTCCCAGTAACATTTATATAAGTTGATTACAGCACGCAAGGCTTTAATTAACTTTCTAGTTTCTGTTTATGTAAGAGAGATAAGGATCGATAATTTTGCTACATATAAAATCTTTATATATGTGTGACACAACCTAAATTAATTTTTAAAATAAAAGACAAAATATCCCTAATGTTGCCTCTGTATATCGCTAATATCAAGATATTTTTTTCTAATAAGAAACTTAAAACTAAGATTATACTTAAAATAATGACTTTAGTATTATTTAAGTATTATTTTTAGTTATAAATAACAAAACTTTATGTAATTTTTATCCTATTTTTTTATTTTTTTTTCTTAATTATTTAAAATATTATAAAATCGTTGTTATCATTAAAAATAACATAAGAATTAATGTAGACAATGTTAAAGAACAATATTATTGCGGAAGGATTTACTTAATATTCACCAAATAAACTCACAATTTAGATAAAAGAGCGTTGCTTTAAATATTAATTTTCATCTTCTTTGTTTAACAAATCATCACTTAAGTTTCGATCATAATAAACTCTGGCAATACGAAGTTCGTACTTGCATAACGTAAATTGCGTAAACAATTATCTATGTATATTCAAACATTGTGTTGCGGACAGGTAACCTATTTTTAACCGACTTCCAAAAACGAGGAGGTTCTCAATTCGTCAGAATCTTTTTTTTATGTATGTTCACCGATTACTCGAAGACGTCTGAACCGATTTGGAAATTTTTTGTTTTGTTTGAAAGGGACAGCAGGGAAAGGGAAAGCGGACAATATTTTAAGATATCAAAATATATTAGATTTCCTATGCATCGGCTGGCACCGACTTCGAAAATATCTGATTAGGTATCTATTCTAAATGAAAACCCCCGTTTAGTTATTTTTTACATTTTAGTGCCTGGAAGTCGGTTTTTTTTTAAGTTTTTATAATTTCTTATTTTGTGGATATTAACTAAATAGATAGCTAGATTAATTCGGTGTAGTATTGAAAAGGATTATTTAGATCACAGACGATGCGATTTGCAATATTCTATTTAATAGCATTCGAACGACTTGATTAGGGATACTATTATATTGTATATTACTGAAAATTCTATTGTACAAGACATTGGATTGGCAATTACAAAAGTTACTTACTGTATATATTAGTGGTACATAAAATATTTTTGTGTCCTTATTGGATTACTTATAATTACCGTAGTTTGTATGGTAGTGTGTTAGTTTGTCACTTCGTTACGCTAAAACAGCTGGATGTATTCAAATGAAAATTACACAGATAAAGTTTTCTGGGGTTGAAGATTGTAAAAATATTAATAATTTATTATAAAATATTTAACATTGATAAAATCGAACTTGGGTCTTCTGTGGTATTGGCACTTACTTACTATTCTTCTATTTAATACAATTTAATTTATTCTGATATACTGTCATTTACTAATTTATTATAGGCCTACCTACTATTCAGTACAAATAAATATTAAAAAAATATAATATGAAATAATTTCATCGTTCACACGTAAAATTTTGTAATTAACAGATTATAAATATATACTTAAAAAGTTAATGCAATATAAAACTAGAGCTTATCTTCTGAAGTTTAAATTGCTACTTGACTGTGAACAAATAGGTATTATATGCAACCGCGGAAGTATAGTTATTCGGTTCATTGTTAGGCTAAACCAATTTTGATAACGATTTGTATGACACGTCTTAAAAGGCTTAAAATGGGCATAAGGTTAAAAAAGTCAACCTTTTTAAACGTAAAAAAAGTTTGCATGGAGAATTAATATTACCTTCTGAGGTTTGATTCAAAAAGAATATATTTAAAGCTTAGAGTACAAACCGAATGTACGAGTATTTAAAGCTTATAAGCTGAATAAAAATATTATTATTAAAGCATCAGAGTCAAGGAAGGCCCATATGGTGCTATCTTTCTACTATTACTTGTATAGTATATTATGTGATCTGTGCTACTATTATAGATGCGAATGTTTGGATGTTTGTTACACTATCACGCCAGAGTGGCTGAACGGATCTGGGTGAAAATTGTCATAGAGATAGATACACAGACACTATAGTGTTGAATAGGTTACTTTTTATCCCGGAAAAATGTACGTTTCCCGCGGAATAGATTTGTTTTTTACAGAGCAAGGGATCGACTATCTATTCCATACTAACCGTTAAAACGTACCTAGGGCTGAACCCGAACAAAGCGAGGGAGAGTCGCTAGTAAGATATAAATGCTAATATAATTGTTAATTATTATTGCTATTGATATATTCTACTGTAGAGCGCTTCTATACGCGAATGTCACGAATGCTTGGTTTCACATCATCGCTCGTCAACACAATATCGTCATTATACTCTAATTTGATCTATTATTGTTATTAAATTCATTGTAATATTGCATTATTATAGATGATAATTGCCATCAACACTTTAAAAGTACATCTTGATCAAATGTTTTATGAAAACAAGTTTAAAATTCTTTATACCTACGATATTGGTATTGCAGAAAAGCACCTATTTTTGGACAAAATCTCTACCAGTAGTACTACCGTATATACAATACGTAAGTTATATAAATACATATAAGCATATTAGCAAAAAATGTTACTGTAGTAAAAGTAAAATGAGTTGAACCTTCGAGTCTCACACCTATAAAACTTCATGGGCGTATAATGTTCAACCGAGAAGGAAAACATCGTTAAGAAACCTGCCTGTCTGAGAGAACTAGATTAGTTTTCGAAAGACATGTGAAGTCCGTTAACCAGTATTTGCGAAGCGTGGGCTATTGGTTGATCCCCCTCGACCCGAAGGGATGCCCGTGACGACAGTGGGGCGTAAAGAGGGCGGAATTGTTATTATTAAAATATTAATTGTTGAATTAAAAAGTAATAAATACCTTTAATTTTAAATATTACAAAAGATAACATAAAAATTAATAGCATTTTGGGTTAAACAAGCAACGATGAGATTTTGTATAATATTGCGTAATCCAAGCTGAGCCATACTAAAATTTCCGCTTTACAAGACACGACTAAAGTAACGAATGAGCGCTCCCTATTCAAAATAATGGAATGAAGCGAAATATTCTCACAATTGGGCAAAAGGATCTCATTTTGTCGGCGGTGACAAGCGAGACAGACGTCTGAATAATGAAATAAAAAATATATTGCTCTGTTTATGTCGGGTCACCGAAATTAAGTTAGAATTTAACAGTATAATTAAGATAGCATTATAATAATATTATATAATATATGAATAGTTGCTCTTAATGATCCAAACGTGTCATCGTGTTAACTGTTAAGTATAACCGATTATCTGAATAAATGTCCATATATTTTTACCATCCTAGTGTAAATTATTCAGTGAATATATTAAATTACTGTACCCAATCATGCGTCGAATTTGATTTCGGTTCGTTCTGGTGACGGGTAAAAATATCACGATTTCACTCCCCTGAGCTCTTTACATCATATTATCCTGTTAAATCTGCAGTCAATTGTTGATATTAATTTTTGTTCTCGCGCAGTGTTCATCTTAATTTAGTCTGACTATTTATTTGTTTTACAATAAACTCTCATGAATTAACAAGAGAAGCTGTAAGTTGTAATGATGCTAAAAAATTTACTACAAAAAGTGGGTTTAATAAATATTTATATAACGACATTTCCCTTGCGGCGTAAAATAGAACTAACATAACGACTCATTGTTAATGAGATTTTACTCTATTTTGTGCTTAAAATAACAAATGAATATAACAACTAGATACTACCTATTATTATTACTAATGCGCTAGCATTCGCTCAGAAGTATATTAAACTAGCATTGCCCATGGCTCCACCCGCGTTCCGATGACCAAAAACCAAATTCTTAGGTTTTACATATTAGTATACTCTTACATTACTATTTTTGTTTTTTTTTTTAAATAAGATATTTTCCCGCGGTGAAAAGTATCCTACATGTTGACCCGCATAACCAGCATCATCATCAAAATCCCTCCAGTGATTTTTCCGTGATGCGATAACAGACAGACAGACAAAAATTCTAAAAACTATAGATTCGGTCTCTATATCGATAATAATGTCTATTTCAATAAGATTTTTCAAAAAATATTTAATGTACAGATTCGGCTCAGTTACAATTTTATTATGTGTATAGATTAATAACTAGAGTTTACTCATAAGTCGGAAATTTCAGACCATTCATACATTTTTAAAGCTACAGTAACTTAAACCAAAACACGTTTACGATAGAAATTTTATAACAGCTTTTAAAGTAATTTTATTGCTTCCTCGTGCAATCTTTTACTTGGATCTAGGTTTTATTGATATTCGTTTCCAAGTAAATGTTGCAGAAACTTACATATGAACTTTGTAAGAGTGATCAAAAATCGTGATGGTACAGTTTGCAAATAAATATAGGATGAGTATTTCGTAATATAATAAATATATATAGTTTATTTTAATTTTTTATATTTGCATAGCATAAATACACTATAAAAATGACTTTACGAGCAGATATTAAAGATGAAAATGTCATCGTTCGCCTATTAATTTTTTTAATCCCTCCATGACCGCGGACACGCTGGCGTGTCAGTTAACAATAGATTTCATAGAATTTTAATTAATTTCTTAGAAATTTACCT